GGAACCTGCACTTTTCTGCACTGTGATCTGCACCTGCCAAAGTAGTTACCAGTGAAATAAAGTTTCCAAGAAATCTTTATGAAGAGGACCTTCCTCACCAGGTCTCGAATTATCTAATATGGTAAAATCAATTCAAACTCCACTAACTCAGAATTCATGACAGCTACACTGAGCAAATATCTGCTTTTGTGGCTGAGATGTGGTTTGTGCTTCTTTTATTATCACCCACACATAATATATCCTCAAAATTGTATGTTAATTAGTTTATTGAATTTGGAGGACTGGGCTAAAACTTAGGTTTATATTCACAGATCTTGTAAATTAATAATAGCATAGCCTGGCTATAGATCAGAGAGTTTTATTTTATTTTAATTATTTTAACACTAAGAGCTGTCATTTGTTGAGCACCTGTGATGTGCCAGGCCCTGTGGTCAACGCTTGTATGTGCATTTTCTCTTTTATCCTCACTACAACTCCCTCTGGGTGGTATTAGTTTCTTCATTTCTAAAAAGGGCATAATAAAATTTATAAGGTGAAATAACTTGCCCACAGTTTTACAGTTGTTAGTGGAGCCAGGAGTGAAGCCTCAATCTTTGTGATTGCAAAATCTGTATCCTTTCCACTCTGCCATTCCTGGAAAATAAATATGTATAATGTGCTTGATTACAGTATTTCTGCGTACTTACTGCTACCACCTATGCAAAAATACCACCGTCTCTTACTTGGACTACAGCAATCAGCTCCAGCTACTTTCACATGCGTGCCTGTCCATCTCCATTCGTTTCTTCCCTTACGGTCAAAAATGATATTTTTAAGCTGCATTTCTGATCACGTCACTCTCCTATGTAAAAGCCATGTCTTCATACACTTCGCATAAAGACCAAAATCCTTATCGCAGCTACAGTGCTCCTCCAGCCTTATCTTGTTCCTCTGGCCCCTTCACTGCCACGTCATAGTCCCATTATGTACCCAGCACCCTGTCTGTCCCAGTGGGTCATCATTTCTGATCGTCTGTTGCTGTGATTGGGAGTCATGTCTGTATCCCCTCCAGACTGTTAGCTCCCTGAGCAAGAACCACATCTATACTGTTTTCATTGAGTCCCCAGGCCTGAATGCAATGCCTTGCACATAATTATGAAAACTAGTTTTATTTAAGTCATTTATAACTATCAATTCTCATAGCCAGAATTAGTATTTTATTTTTCCTTGTATTGAGACCCTAAATTGGTGGAAACACAAATTTGGATCATATTTATTTTTAATAACTTTCACATGATTTCTAGATATTTTATTTGTCAAGACAATAGGCTATTATTATTTCCTATGTTACATGCCCTATTCCAGTCATTTTTACAGGCATCATCCAATTATATCTTCATAGTAATCATCTGAGGGTAGGTGCTATAATTAGCCCAACTTTTCTAAGATGAAGACTCAGAGGAGTCAAGTAACTTAATTGATGGCATACCTAGGATTCAAACCAAGGCTTGTGTAATTCTTCATGACTACGCTTTATTGCCTCTTTAGCAATCGAATGCGTCCTCAGAAGACCTTGTTTCACTTAGCCAACAGATATTCATTAAGCTCCTATGATGTTTGAGACTAGGGGTGTGAACAGTTATTGTGACAAAGTCTCTTCCTGTGGCATGTACGATGCAGAGGGGGAAGCACAACCAGCTGATCTGCACAGAGGGTCCGCTACATGCAGTGATGTGGAAGAACAGGGTTCTAAGGTGGCAAGGAGGGGAACAAAACCTAGAGGCAGGGGATCCAGAAAGACATCCTTGAGGAAGTGGTGTTGACATTAAGGTATGATGGCTGAGACATAGAAAAGAAGTCAATGGAGCCAGATCAAAAAAACTTTGCAAGCCATGTTGAAGAGTTTGGATTTCGAATTAATGGGAAGTTATGAAAGGACTTTCAGCAGCATACAAGTGACATATCAGATTTGTAGTTCAGCAATATCACTGGCTACAGTGTATAGAAAGAATTGGAGTGGAGAAAGAATAAAGACAAAAGAACTGTCTCAGTCCACCAGTAAGAGATAATGGTGACAGCATTGGACGATGGAATTAGGTGATGGGAAAAAGGGTCCATGGAAATGGAGGCATTAAAGTGATATTTAGGAGACAGAGTTCATAGGACTTGGTCATTGATAGCATGTGAGATGTGAGGACCCAGGGGTGAAATTCTGATTCTGGCTGGAGCAGGAGAGGGGGTGGGGGGTGGCGCCATTCACCAGGGAAGGGAACCCCAGAGAAAGTGGGTTTGGCAGAGAAGAGATGAGTGTAGGTTGGACAAGCAGAGGCTGAATTGCCTGAGGGACCTCCCTGTGAGTATGCTGGCCACTCCCTGGGACCTGTATGATTCCATCCCTGGGAATCCTGAGAGCCTCCACATGCCCTACAAAGGCTCACCAGGAGAGACCTAGGCATCCAGATTATCTCCCTCCACCAGCAACCTTTTCTCTTTCTTTGCTTGTAGCCGTCTCTCTCCTATGCTGAAGTTCACAGTCCGTGCTCTTCTTCTCCGATGCCTGTTTCACATGATCCATAGCCAGGAACCAGAGGAGAATAGGCCAGGAGCCTGCTTCCTGTGATGACCTGGGCACAGATACCAGTCAAGATGATGGGCCAGATCTCATCATCAGGGCTCTCTTTGTATCGTGCACCCAGACATATCCCCAAGGACTAGATTCAGAGTTTTTGTAGATCAAATATATAGGGAATAATTATAGGAATCCCAGCTATTTCCCTCAAGAAATTAAATAAAGTCAACTTATAGATGCCATCTCCCTAGGAATGCCTTGCTTGCTAAATTCAAAAATTGAATAAATAACATTAAGAAATCCAAATGATTTCCTCATTGTGTGATATACAGAGAAGGTTGCAAATCTGGAATCACATAAATCTGAATTTATCCAAATCTAATAAATATTTAAGTAATTCAGTTGCGAAATGATTTGTATTCTTCTGTCCCAGGCCAGAGATATGCCGAAAAGTTGTTCTTTTGACGTGACTCACATCATTCATTTGTTCATATATAGTGTATTGTCTCTGGGTACCACTTTTGACCTCATGCATTTTCTCTTTTAAGGAACACTATTTCCACTTTATAGATGAGGAAAGTGAGGCTGTAAGTCTTCGATGCTAAGAGGATATGCACTTGTAGTAGAAGAGCCAGATTTAGACCTAGGTCTTTGGACGCCAAGTCCAGGAGCTCAATAGATGTTAGTTTTGTTTTTTAAGTATAGTGTCAGAAGTGAGCAAAGAGGTAGGAGACTAAAACTTGGGAGTTGTTGGTGGAGAAGCGTATACAGAGTGCAGATTTCTCTGGAACTAAAACATAAGTATATATTTCCTTGAAAAAGACAACATTTATTTTTAAATACAAAAGTGTAATGAAAAGTGAACCTTAAACTTGGTGACGATGTGAAGAAATTAGAACTCTCATACACCAGTGACAGGAATGTAAAATAGTACAACTACTTTGAAAAACACTTTGGAAGTTTCATAATTAAACATATAGTATACCATACACCTACCAAACAAACAAACAACCTAGCTACTTTGTTTCTAAGTATGTACTAAGAGGAATGGAAGCATATGTCTAAACAAAGATTTGTACATGATTGTTCATAGCAACTTTATTTATAATAACCAAAAAGTGGAACAACCCAAATGTCTATCAACAGGCGAGTTGATGACCAAATTGTGGTGTATCTGTATAACAGAATACTATTCAGCCATAAAAAAGAAAAACTGTTATACATGCAACAACATGGATGATTCTCAAAATAGTTACACTAAGTAAAAGAATCCAGACAAAAAAAGAGTACCTAGTGTATAATTCCAGCTCTATAGAATTCTAGAAAATCATGATGGAATGCAGATCTGTGGTTGCCTGGGACAAGGAGTGGATGGATTAAAAGAAGCATGAGGAGACTTTTGGGGGTGATGGACATGTTTGTTGTCTTGACTGTGGTGATGGTTTCTGGGATGTCATAACAAGACCTTGGGGCAAATAGGGAAGAAAGAGAAATGGATTTCTTGACCATCTTAGTGAAAATAACCATGACTTAAGTTACATGAGCTAGTCAACAATGTAGCCAAGAAACTGTTTGTTCTTGATCAGGTTAGTTAAGTGATCTGATTTAGTTCTGCTGCTGCATTGTAGAAATAACTTTTCCTTTTTCCCCTGCCTGTCTTCCTGCCTACTTTAATGTTCCCTTTTTTCTTATTTCACACTTTATACTACTAAAAGTATATAAATAAATGCAAATATTTTAAATACTCAAATGCAGTTTTGATGTCCTTTCAAACACTAGAATTTAAGTGTTGGTTTTCTCTGTGTTTTTTTTTGAGGGAGCAGTATGTGCAGTGGGAAAATGCTTTAAAGCCAGATAGACTTGTTCATTTTAATCACAAGTTGCTAAGAAACTAGATCTTAAATGTTCTCACCATAAAAAAGAAATGATAATTATGGGAGGACATGATGTGTTAGCTAATATTATGGTGGTAATCATACTGCGATATAGAAATGTATCAAATCAACATGTCATGCTCCTTAAACTTATACAATGTTATATGTCAATTATATCTCAATATAAAAAAAAAACCCAGATAGGCTTGGATTTGAATGCCAGTTTTGCCATTGACTAGCCTTGAACCTTATTTGTCGTTAACTTCCCTGATTCTCAGTTTCCTCCATGTAACATGGGGATAATAGCTATGTTTCAAGGGCCATTATGAAGATTAGAAATAACGATCTACTGCGGTGTTGAGTAAATCATTCACTTGCTATTGTACATTGTACGTCAGGCCTTTTAGATCATGCACTGTCTGTGTACATTTACTTATGTCAACCCCTACAATAGTCAAACACATACCAAAGCCTATGAAGCACCTTGACAAAACAGGACAGATGGTACATGTAAATAATGAATTTACCTTTCCATGCACTTTGGGCTGATATGTTGATTCTGCTTTAATTGTGTGTAGTGCACCTGGTGGACATTTGGAACGTCATAGAAGCATTGCGGGAAAATGCTCTGAACAACCTGGACCCAAACATAGAACTCAATGTGGCCCGCTTGGAGGCTGTGCTCTCCACCATATTTTACCAGCTCAACAAACGGATGCCAACCACTCACCAAATCCAGGTGGAGCAGTCCATCAGCCTCCTGCTTAACTTCCTGCTGGCAGCCTTTGATCCGTAAGCTTCCTCTGAATGTCTGTTACTCTCTACAAGTTCGGTCTCCCCTTCCTCTTGTCCTTCTTGGTCTTTACTCCAAATAATTTTCTAGAGTTAACCAACTGCCTCTTTTTTCTTGATCAGATACTTATCTCAACAAAGTCTCTGTGTTTAACAGAAATTTTAAATGCTATGGAAAAGACTAGAGAGTAAAATAGTGCCGTAGGGAATTGAAGACAATTGTATTTTATGTGCTGACCTTTATTTAACTCATCCCACGCTTCCTAGAAGCTAAGGACACTTGAAAATGTTACGTGATGGCATGCCTTTGGAGAAATTTAATGAAGCATAAAGTGGGAGGATGTTTTTAACTCTCTTCTTTGCAAATTGCCTAAGACAGTGTTTCTGAGGTGTCATAACAAGACCCTCGAGCAAACAGGAAGAAATTGAAAAGTGTTTCTTGACCAGCCTGGTGAAAGTAGCCATGACTTGAGTTAAATGGGCTGGTCAATAATGTGCCACATAAAACAATGTGATGCCGTCCACACACCGCAATTGAAACTCAGCCCCATTATCTTATAATTTTCCCTCATAGAATCAGAGAGTTTCAGAGCTGGCTGAGACCTTAAAGACTTTTCTTCCAAATCTCTCATTTTACAGATGAAGGATCCGAAGCACAAAGAGATTGTCACTGCCCAGCGTTTCTCAGCATGTTAGTGGCAGAGCGGGGACTTAGGAATTCAGCTTAGATTTCTTTTCCAAGGCATATGTGGCAGCCCTGTGAAATGTAAAAACTCACCTGCATTACATTATCAGCCTAAAATTTCAAAAGGGCTATGCTGATAGCCCCTAATCTAGATATAGTATCGACACCTCCACTTTCACTACTGGTTTTGAATATTAACAAGGAAAATTGCTAACTTGACCTTTCAGCAATCACATTTTAAGACTCTCAGAAGATTTTGCTCAGTCTCATTGTCTGGCCAATGCTTGGGAATGGTTAAGCCTGGCACTGGAGATGTTGCAGCCAGGTGAATGTTATTATGCCACTCACTTACAAAAGTCACCAGCTGTCACTTTGGAACCTAGAGTAGTAACAGAATTGGTCATGCTCGGTTTGACCAGTATACATTATTGTCTCCATGATGTTTATATTTTGAGAAATTCTCAAGTGGAAATAAACAATTTTAAAACAAGAAGTCCAGAGTGATAGGTTCTGCTTAGTCTGTGCAGACGTCAGAACTGATATACTGCTTTGGGCTAATCACTATGGTAACCGAGCGGCAGGGCAGGTAGAGAAACCTCTGGTTCCACATGACAGGTGGCAGAATGGAACTAGGCCGTGGAATTTCTATAGCAGAATTTCTGTCCTGTCCCCTTAACAAGAGCATGACAGTTTTCAGACTTGCTATGAAAATATTCAGGGGACTTATTTGTTTTAAGTGTAACAATGGAAAATGTAAAAAGAGAAATATAATTGCCTGCTAAATCTTGGAGGCTTGCTAGAGGATTAATAAGGAATCGAAGCTAAATCATAATTTGGACCCACTCTATAAATACAGAAACAGGGCCAGATTAACAATAAGGAAGCGGGCGTTTGTGAAATACATAGGACTTAAACTAATAGGGTTAGATTCTTCACTTTTGTTTAGAAATGTTGGGAACATCATTTCAAAAAATAGAGCTATAAATGTTCTCTAAATAGCTATGATAATGTAGCTGAATCATTTCAAGACTGATGAGTGGTAAGCTTAAGGACTACCCCAAGGTAAAGAGCAGTTCACACGAATGTTCAGAAGAAATGTTTGGGTCCTACTCTTCTTACAGAGAGGAAGGCGCCTGATGTATCCTTTCAGTAATCTCATTGTAGTAGATTTATAAACACATCCTCATGGAGAAATCTCATTGTAGAGATTCATAGATACATCTACATAGAGAACCCAGTCTGCAGGTACTTCTGCCTTCTCTCCTTTGTCATAGCAAATGAGTGTAGGCAGTTCTACTGATGCTCAAATGTCTGACTGGTGGGTTTTGAAATTTAGGCAAAGTGAGATGTAAGCCATCAGGAAGTACCACTACCTGGAAATATAACTTAGAAGTGAATATAAGAAGAGAACCAAGAATAAAATGAATGTTCAATTCTATTTCTTATAACAGTAAACTCCTGTTTATCCAAATGAGATCCTGTATGGAAATCTGATGTCACTTCCTACCATGTATCCCATGACAGAACCCCAGTGTTCAAGGAAGTCTTCTGTATTTTGGTAGACATGAATGAGCCTGATACTAATAGATCAAGGATGTGCTGTTGCTATTATAGAATCACTGAAACATTGAGGAGGTTGTTCTGCATTTGCTGTATTTTAAATGGACATATTTAAAAAAATCCGAAATAAAAGTTAGAGATGCCTTAAGAACCAGGACTCCAAAGAGGTAATGTAAAAAAGAAGGAAAGACAGTATAGCAATTTAAACTCATGAAGAATAAGAACTTGCATTCAGAGAAATGTGGTCATTATTTTGGTGGTGCCTTAAAATTCACCAGATCCAGCCAGTTGGACTCTGCCAAGAAAATAATAACCTGAAATGAGGATCAAGGCCCACTTCACTTGGATGTACCCCTGGGAACCAGACTCGCCTTCCCACAACCATAGTTCCCTAAGAATAGCACTCACCTGTTTCTTTCCTCCCCCAAAACCACCTGGATCTCAGTTCTCATAAAGGCATGCTTACTGCAGACCATAATCTGCTGGTTGCAAAGTTTCTCTGCTCTTCGGCCAAGTCAGCCTCTTAGAAGATATAATTCATAGCTACATATGTAGCATGATTTGTAGAATGTTAGGAGCTAGGATTTGCCCCCAGTGTCCTATGCCCATGCTTGCCATTCTGTCACTGAATAGGCAGTCTGTTGAGTCTAGAAGATTTTTGTTCTTCACCACTTTTGTTCTAAAAATGGCTGTTCCCCTGGGATGTGTGACCTAGCGAGCTACTAGCACCAACTTATAAGCAGACCCTTTCCACACTCAGAAGCAATCTTCTCTAGGGTCTTCTCTAGGGAAATAGATGGGTGTACCAGGGAAGGATGGGCGAGGAGGTGTCAGAAGGGGGAGCAGGGGCTGAGAGGGAAGAAGAATACTAGGAAATAGCCGGAGTCCTGAGCCAGTCTCTTCTCGTCTCTTTCCTTCTGTGCACCCCAGGAACTGGCCCTCCTCCTTCCCTTATTTGCTGGCAGGAGCCTTCCACCTAAGGCTCCCTCTTTCAGAATCCACTAACAAACTGGCATCAACTTTTCCTCTCACCTCTTGTCCATATCCCAGTGGGGAAAAAATGTATCTTTGAAGTGTTCCAAGGACTTTTACTGTTATTATTTTTTAGGAAGTTGAAACTAACAAAAGAAAAACAACATAGCAGAAAGTTACAAGATGAAAATGATTCTTTTTTTTAAACAGCTTTATTGAGGTATAATTGTTACCTTGAAAATACTTCTTAAAAGTCCATAATGTGTGGCCTTTTGGAGAGGTAAGGTCACAAAGTCTGAGACACTGTGAAGCCCATTACCTCTCATGGCTGAGTGGATCACCCTTCTCCAAGTCCCAGGGCTCCTTGCACATGAGTCTGCTATTCTCTTGTAGAGCCTGCCTTACTGCTTGTATGACTGCCTCCCACCAGAAGCTTTAGAGAGGGACCATGTCTTATTCTTTGTCTGCACAGCCCCTGAGACAACACCCAGTGCATAATGAATCAGTGAGTGAATGAATGAATGAAAATCAGAGGTTGACTTTTCTTAGCTCTTGTCACACTAATTTCTTTTCATTCTTTTTCTGAGATTAAGTCTGCCTTAATCTCCAATATATTACCAAGACTAGTGAGTCCAAGTTTGCTCTGTCACCTAGATTCATCCCCTCTGTTTTTACTCCTGCTCCACAGAGAAGAAAACCGGATGCTCATCGTTACTAATGTGGGTGATCCTATTTTCACAGAAGACTTCATATACTTCTCTTACTCTCTTCCTACTTCCCTGGGAAACACTAACAACTTTAGTCTGTTGACTTAATCTCATTTGAATTCAGTAGAATCTTCCTTGTTAGGACAGTTCCTCATAAAGTAGATGATGTGACGGTGGCCTTGTTTTTAGCAAATATTATTTTCACATGTATTCAGCCACTCAAAACTCATAGGAGGACAATGATAAACGTTAAAAGGAGCAGTGATTTTCCTATTTTCAGAGGTCAAACTACATTCTTAATGCCAATTGTCTAATGATAATATTATAATAATTCTAATTATGGCTAAGATGTACTCAGCTTTTACTGTGTGCCAACAATCTTACCGATTTGGCACTATCCTATTATAATTTTCCATGTTGAGAGGTGATGAAGCTGAGACATAGAGAGGTTAAATAATTTACAGGTCATACAGCTTCATACTAGATGAGGTGAGTGGAAAAAAAATCATTTTGTTTCAGGAATCAGTTTAAATTCAGCTCTGTTTGTGCTTTCTGCTTCATTTTTTTAAATGAGAATTAATGTACAATTTTTCCCCAGATTTACCCTGCTTATTACAGGAAATTATTATTATGCTCACATTCCTAACCTTTCCAGTTTGTGGTATTTAGAGCTCATTGACAAGTGTATGTGAAAGAAATATTTGGACTTAATAAGTTTTTTTTTTAATTTCTTGTTTATTGCAGTAACATTGGTTTATAACATTGTAAAAATTTCAGGTGTACATCATTGTACTTCTATTTCTGCATAGATTACATCATGTTCACCACCAAAATACTAGTTACAACCCATCACCACACACATGTACCGAATTATCCCTTTCACCCTCCTCCCTCCCCCCTTCCCCTCTGGTAACCACCAATCCAATCTTGGTCCCTCTGTGTTTGTTTATTGTTGTTATTATCTACTACTTAATGAAGGAAATCATAGGGTATTTGACCTTTTCCCTCTGGCTTATTTCACTTTGCATTATACCCTCAATTGGACTTAAAAAGTTTTACATTGTAGATTTAGAGTC